CATTATGAGTGTTAAGATGTAGAGATTCTGGGCTCTTTATTTTTCTCTGATAAATGTCATTTCCTTTTTTTAAAAAATATGGGGAATTTCCTTTGTTGACCTTTAACTTCAAACACCATTTTGGCCATTATCTCTGGCCTTTGCACAAATCTTTTGGCTTCACATTTTGACTTAAGTCTGTTCCACTGGTGCATGGTTCTGACTCTTACAAAGGTAAGGGAAGATAGAATTTGAACATCTATTTCTACCATTTGCCATTCCCTGATTCCTTCCATCTCTATATTAATCCTGGCTTCCCAAGTTTCAAGATTCTGGTCACCAGGTGAAAACCCCTTTTGCCCCCTAAAATTAAAAACAGTTGCCTCATTTCATTCCACCTTACAGTGTGCATTTTCCCCTGGTCTGTTTGTTGCTGTTTATCTTAGATGAAGGTTTTACCCTTGTTTTCTTCCCTTAAGCCAGTTTGGTGAGTGCTTGGTCCTACTGGAAGTGGAATCCAACAGCAGCAATTTTTACTTAAGCATTTATCTGAAGTTTGGCCTCATGTAACCTTTTCTTTTGCTCTAAGGATTTTCCAATCCTCTCCCTCAGGGTTAATTTTCCTTTCCTTCAGTCTCTCATCACATTTTGTCCATTTGTGTACTATGGAATGTAGAACATGATGTTTTGTAATGAACTCCCCAGGCCTATAAAGAGTGATGGTTTATATTTCACATCTGTTTTCCCAAATCCTAACATGAAGGAGGAATATGATAAATGTGTTTGGATGAATGAAGAATGACTCTTTACATTGACTGCATGTGTATTAATGTGACTAGTTCAGAAGTAGTCATTTTGGGGTTTTCTTAAATTTGTCTATTTTGAGGGCTTGGGGTTGTGGTTCGGTGGTAGAGCGTTTGCCTAGCATGTGTGAGGCACTGGGTTGGATCCTGAGCACCACATAAAAATAAATAAAATAAATATCTATCAACAACTGAAAAAGAAAAATTTGTCTATTATGTGTGTAGAGTGAATCAATCTCTTTATGTAATAAATATGACAATGCCATTTCTGCTTCTGCCAAAACAAGATATAAAGAAGTTGCTTAAATATTGTACTGCCCACTAATTCTTCCATAAAAAAAAGTTGTGAGATCAGTGCCATTTTGTCTTGGCTCCTGTTATGATTTAGATATGAGGCGTCACCCCCAAAAAGTTCATGTGTTAATGTAGGAATGTTCAGAGGAGAAAAGGTTAGATTATGAGATCTATAACCTAATCAGTACAGTAATTCATTTGATGAATTAATAATTTGAAAGGACTACTGTACTAGGTTCTGACTGCAGGCAGGTAGGGTGTGGCTGTAGGAAGCTGGTCAATGGAGACCTGCCATTGGGGTGTGTATTTTGTCCCTGGCACTTTGTTGTCTCTCCTTCTGCTTCTGGACTATCAGGAACTGAGCAACTTCCCTCTGTCATGCCCTTCCACCATGATAGTCTGTTCACTTTGGGCCCAAGTGGTAGAACAAGCATAGACTGAGGCTTCTGAAATGCCTGAGCCAAAATAAATGTTTTATCCTCAGAGTTGTTCTTGTCAGGTACTTTGGTCGTAGCTATGAAAGACTAACACAGCTGTCTTCTGTCTTTCTGCCCCTACCATCTGAACCACCTGATACTCCTCCTGCCTCTGCTCAAGAATGCTGGTTTATTGTGAAAAAGGTATGAACCCTTAGAAACTCACAGTGAATCTAATGTAAAATTCTGTTCAGTGTCCATATTTATAGAATTGGTCTCTAAATTTTATTTCTTTGACTAACGACAATAAGCATCTTCTGTACACAATAATGAATTTATTTTACCATGTATAAAATGAGCTTAATATTCAAAACAAAATCCTATCTTAAATTTAGGATGCTGGTCTAAACCACTGGATGATATTTCTATTTTCCTCTTTCAGTAGAATATAGTATGGTTCAGCCTGATCAAATAGCATGAAATTTATTTTTCCTTTTTCCATAATTTGCCTATTTCTTTTGTGGGTGAGAGCAAATCTATCTGGCCAGCTGGGTTTCTCTGGTGTGGATGCCAGTAACAGAATGGCCAATTTGTTTACATTTTTTTTCTTTTTTCACTTGAAGGCACAGATGCCCATGGAACTGAATAAAGTTCTGATCATAAGTTAAAAGAAATGAACATGAATTCACACACACAATGAATAAAGAAAACATTCATGACTTATCTAATTCAATTTTTTAAATTAAATCATTGTCATTTAGAGCTTTACATATTGTTACTTCCTGAACTTTTACATTTGCTGTACACATACCTGTGAGGAAACACTACTGTCATGTATAACTAAAAGAACAAATAAAAATTAAAAAAAGAAAAAGAAAGAAAAAAAACATTGTAAGCCTAAGCAAAGAATATCAATACTTTTAAAATTTTAGGATAAACAAATTCAGCGAAGATTATCCTAAAAGGGAGCTTGGTCTTTCTGTTTCATAAGCTTAAAACAAAAACAAAAACAAAACAAAACAACAACAAAAAAAAACCTCTGTAGGAAGTCTTTTTCCTTGGTTCCTGAAGACATCAAAAGTTACTATAGCATATGGCATAATATTTTGACAATTTCTTCTCCTTCAAACATCTTGATTGACATTTACATTTTTGACTCACCCTGCTACTCATCCTAAATTCCTTCCTGTACTATAATTTCTTGTCTTAATGCCCCTTTGGCAAAGAAGGGTTAAAAGGCCTGCTTAAAGCTATAAATGACTGGCAGTTCTCTATCAAATCTGAATCCACAGTTAAAACATTCTTGAAAATGAGTCTCAGTGCCTGCTTTTTTTTTTTTTTTTTAAACAGGGACAGCCCTAGAAGCTCTGAGTCCCTCTCCTTTCTTCCATCTCAGTACTTCATAATGGCAGGGGACAAACCGCAATACTTTTTCTTTCTGTTCCAAACCCACTGAGAATTAGACTTTCAGAAGCAGTTCTCATTTTGATGCTAAAAAGCCCTGATAGTTTGCTGGACAAATTCAAGGTGGAGTTAAACAGAATCTAGTGGGCTCTCTGTGATGTGTTTCTATATCACACACGCAGCCACTGGAAGAGAAACTGGAAAAGCAGCACCCGCCCAGCACGGAGACCTTGTGAACAATTTCAGTGTCTGAGAGGCAGCTGGACACAAGGAACTGACTGTTTTCCTACTTCTCCCCTCTGGCATTGTTAGTTAAATTAAAAGTCTTGCTCTTAGAGAAACTTTTTTTACAATAAAACAATTCTCAGTCATTCACAAGTCAAAGGCAAAGAAAAAAGTGCCCCAGTGCACAATGCTGCAAACTAGCACATTGTCTTCAGTCATTTTCTCACTACTCACAGCTAAAAGGGGAAGAAGATGAAAAAGGAAGGGAGGGGCATCTTTTGACATGAATGTCTGATCACTGTCATTGAGGCCTCCAATCATGTCCAGTACTTGAGCTGTGTGATCTGTGAGGAGGCTCTGCAGCCCTCTCTTCAGGCCAAACTCTAACCTCAGCCACCTTTGCAGAATTTCTTTCTTTCAGCTCCTTTCTCTTTATCTGATCAGAAAGAAAAGTTGTCTAATCCAGTTCTCTGTTTGAGGTATCCTACTTTATTCACAGTTGGGTTTTATAGATATTAGACCATAATATATTGTGTGATTTAAAATGCTATTTTGAAAAGTCTAGCTTGGTACACTGTTCTAATGATTGACACAAAACATGATTTTGGTTTTGCTTTTAGAGACATAGAGAACTAGAAAAGTTATGTTGAAGTATCTAAAACCAGTGGTAATCACAACAGGAAATAAACAAAACCCAGATGTCTCCCTCTTGCTTATTGCTTTGTTTAAATTTCTGTCTCAGTCATGGCAAAATGTGTTTACTTGTAATGATGTCCTCATTGCCAGGACCTCTCTGTACCAGGAGAGAGCAGGATCACAGAAGAGGACCATAATGAAGAGGACACATGGACTTTCTCCTAGGTCCCAGTTTTGGCCTCCACATTGCACTTAGGCATTGGGCATGGGCTGCTGGGCCTCTTTTTTTTTTTTTTTTTTTTTGTGAGATGGGGAGAGAGAGAGAGAGAGAGAGAGAGAGAGAGAGAGAGAGAGAGAGAGAGAGAGAATTTTTTTTTAATATTTATTTTTTAGTTCTCGGAGGACACAACATCTTTGTTGGTATGTGGTGCTGAGGATCGAACCCTGCTGGGCCTCTTTTTCACTCACTCGGCCTCCCAGAGCTCAGGAGAGTGGAGATGGTTTGAGACAGGCAATTATTAAATTATCAGGAATTCAATGAAACAGTTATCAAGCCCATGACTTCTTGAAATTAGCCAGGGTAGAAATATTACACTGCAAAAATTTGGAAATGCTACACTAGATCTTTTATTTTTATTAGTATCAATAATTCATTTTCTTGTTTTTCCAGAGAGCTGGACTATTAGCATACCACTGCTGAATGTATACCATCTAAAAGTTCCCTGATAAAACTTTCTAGAAATTCTTCCAGATGCTGTGCTGTGCTTAAGGCTTGAGTGAATCTCTTTGCTCAAGTGACCGATGATCCTGAGTTGGAATAGAGTCATAATATATTCTAAGATCATAACAAGTTCTGCCAGTTGGCTGCCACCTCAAAATATTCCACAAGGTTTCCCATCCACCAGTCCAAGTGTTTCCCTAATCAAAATAAAAAATATACTCAGTACCTGAACTCAGAACAAAGAATATCAATCAATTATATTTCCCTTCTACTATTTCCACATTAAGTACAACAGACTTGAAACTGAGTGATTATGCCTGGAACAGAACACAGAAGAGTTCAATTCAACCAATAATTGTGGAATGCCTGTTGTGCATAACATAATAAATACAAATAAAATGATTTTAATATCCCCAACCACTCAGTTTTGTAGTCATGTAGATGTGTAATAAATATTTATTAAGGATACAGATGGATTTCATACCACACCAAAACAACTTTTAAGACCTTTTTCAGGAGGCCTCAGCGTGGTCCGCAAAGGCTGGTGGCGCGCGATCTCTGCGGGGCCGCCACCTTCCAGGCCACCCCTTCTCCGGCGCCCTCGCACTCGGGGAGAGGTATTTTATGCATGGGGTTTGTAAGGAAGGAGATAACTGTCGCTACTCGCATGACCTCTCTGACAGTCCGTATGGTGTAGTGTGCAAGTATTTTCAACGTGGGTACTGTATTTATGGAGACCGCTGCAGATATGAACATAGAAAGCCATTGAAACAGGAAGAAGCGACTGCTACAGATCTAATTGCAAAACCTACCCTTGCTGCTTCCTCAAGTCTCTCATCCGTGGTTGGACCGCT